TATTCAACCATAAAAAGGAATGAAGTATCGATACTTGCTACAACAACATGGATGAACCTTGAAGACATTATGCTAAGTAAAAAAAGCTGGTCACAAAAGACTACACATTGTATAATTCCACTTATATTAAATGTCCAGAATAGGCAAATACATAGAGACAGAAAGTATATTAGTGGTTGAGAGGTGCTGTGAGAAGAGAATGGTAAGTGACTACTAATGGGTATGGGGTTTCTTTCAGGGGTGATGAAAATGTTCTAAAATTAGGTAGTGTTGATTGCACAATGCTGTGAATATACTAAAAACCACTGAATTGTACACATTAAAAGAGTGTATTTTATGGCATGTAAATTATATCTCAATAAGGCTGTTATAAACAAAAAGAATTAAATATCCAGTCCCCCCTCCATTTGTCAGGAATTTCCAGCTGTAAGTCATAACTAAATTATAAAGAAGAAATTGGGGTGGATGAATATTCTATTATTAATGGACTACTACTTCCTATTTTTCTCGCCAGAATGAAAAATAACTATAAGAGCACACAATAGAAATCCATTTTTATTCTTAAGTGGATTATTGCTAATTTTTTGTTCACAGTCATCTCTGAGATTGAAGTCCATTTATAAAGGGATTTTATACCTTGTGGTAAAAGCTTTTCTAGTTTTTAATCATTGAATAGAAAGTTTTTATTTCTAAGAATCTCTTTTGTCTAGTCAGGTTTAAGTGTAACCGGCTTTGCTTATTCATTCGTGCTGTTTGTTCTAAGTCACTGTTTTGCTTAGGACAAAGGCATGAGGTCAGTAGAAAGGGAACTCCCATTTAATGAGGCCTGTGATTGTCAGACACTGTGTCAGACACTCTACTTACACTTCCCGTCCAAGGCTCTCAACCCCAGAAGGAAGTATTATTGTTACCTCTTTGAAGATGAAAAGCAGGCTGATGGAGGTGAATGAGTGGCCCAAAGTCACACAGCCAGAAATGGCAGAACCCAAGAGAGCCTGTGCTCTTTGCTCAACATCGGGCCACTTTCTGGAGTTCTCAGTTCTATGCAGGTCAGAGGGGTACACTTATATTTATGGTCCTTTATGGCTTTGGGAAAGGCTAAAACTGCTAGACTTTGGCTACTTGAGAGTTCAAGGTTGAGGGTGAATCTCAAAGGACAGTGTGTAATACCACACATTTTCCAAACTCATTTTCCATTACTCCTAATTGTTGAATGTTCAATCATCAACAATTTGTAGACATCCACCACGTGCCTAGCCTTGTGCAAGCATTAGTTATCTAAAATGATTGTACGAATGAATTCAGATTTTAGAACTCTGTCCATCTGGAGGAGGATGAGAAGGGGCCTCTTTTCCTCTCTAGCCAGAGAGCAAGAGCACAGTGGCCCAGAACAGAGCCCGCCCTGCCCAGGACTGCTGGGCTCATGCATGCACATGTACACACGTGACCTGTCCCGTAAAGTGTGCTTGACCTCGGGCTTTGTGGGGGCAGCGACCACATCTGAGTCTGGCCCAGAGCAGGTGCCAGGTGGCCCCACACAGAGTCTGGCCCAGAGCAGGTGCTCAATGATGGCTGAATAAATGATTAAGCAATTCCTTTTATCAATCCACTAGAATTTGGACTGGTCACTTCATTGCTCTGTGCCTTCATTTCCTGATTTGTAAAATAGGGATAAAGAGACTACCCATTTTATATGGCAACTTTGAGATCCCAGGAGATATTACAAGGCACACGCTCAGCACCCAGTACACGCTCAGCACCCAGTACACTGTAGTTGTCACTCCTATTGTTATTACTGTTGGGAGGGATGAGAGGCACATCCTTGTATGCGGAGAGTGACCTCCCATCCCCTTTTACCTTGTGACCTGGGTTTTTGTTTCTTAAAGCAGAGAAAGGCTTTTCTGGCTTTAAGCCTTTTCTTAAAGCTGAAGGCTAGATGGTCCAGCTACATGGAGCTCACTCTGCTCTGTTAGGGAACATTGGTCTAAGACGCTGAGGATGGGCTCCCGAGTGGGGCTCTAAGACTTACTCCTCAAACCCGAAGGGGCTGGAGGGAGGCAGGACCCAGCCTCCCCAAGAATAGCCCTGTGGAGAAAAAGGCCTCCCTTCAGGCTGGCTACTGATTTACTATACTCCAAACCCATGAGCCCCAGCTGGAACATTGTCTGCCAATCCTATTGTCCCATTACCAGGCCCCTGCAGCTTTCCAAGAAGACTCTTTGGACACAGTAACTTCCCAAGAGAGGGCCTAGCCCTGGAGCCAACCACAGGTAGCCGTGAGATCCAGCTGCCTTCCCCTGCTGGATGTGAGCAGGATCTCCCAAGGCAGATGGCAGCCTGCATGGCCACTGTGTGCACATGGCCTCCTCCTGTGTTGCATGATGCTGACAGGGCTTCTTGGCCTCTCTTCAGGGAGGGAAGGGGGACCTAGAGCCATGGCTGGACGACCTCCAGTAGGAGAGTGATGAGGAGCTGGCCCTCACCTCACTCTTCCCAGCACCCCAATTCAGGACTCCTTTTCCTGCTTCATTCCCCAAAGAGACCAGGCTTGACCCACTACCAGGACCAGCTTCATGGGCATACAACCTGTGCAATCACACAGGGCCCACGCTTGGTTTTAATGCTCTGGTGTTGACATCTTGAAATTCTTGAATAATTTTTGAACAAGGGGTCCTGCGTTTTTAGTTTACACTGGGCTTACAAATTAGATAGCCAATCCTGCCCACTATCTTCACTCATGAAATGCCTGGCTCCACATCTGACAGCCTTCCTCTTTCCTTTCTGTCTCTAAGTCCTATCTATCCTCCCCTAAGGCAAAGTCCTGAAAGAAAGATATTTTAAAAACCACAAAGGAGAGCAAATTATCTTTGGAAGAGCTTTTCTGCTCCGCTGCAGATGGAATGGTGATGGTTGATAATGGACACGTTAATACCCCTACCAAGCTTGAGATTTTCTTGGCTTTGTCCAAAGCTAAAGGCTGTGGTGGAGGCCTTCTCTCCCTAGTCCTGGTGTCAGATTCCTTAAGAAGTGTAGGGGATGATATTTAATAAGCTCCTTTTGTCTGGCCTTTGGAGTTCATGTCCAAAGCTGGACATGGGTACAAGGTTGAGTTCTGAGGCCTGAGATGGTATCTAGCATGTCCATTTACTTGCTATGACTTCAGACAAACTCGTCTCAGAGCCTCAGTTTACTCTTCTGCAAAATGGGTCACACTGCACGTCATGAGGCTTTGGGACCTCAATCACTAATCTCTTTGTGTGTTGGGGCAGATCCCAAGCTCTCTTCTGACACTTTAGCTAGTGATTTTTGGAAGTGGGTAGCCATTGATTCAGGCGCATGTCCTGTCTACCCCTTCCAACTCATGGGCTGGCGGGGCACATGGATCTGGCCATAAAGGTTTGGAGGGTTTGTGCCCTTTCCCCTGAAGCCCCTTCAGGGACCCCCAGGTGAAGCAACCTCCTCTGGATATGGGCTCATATTTATCCTTGGATTGTGCTTAAGGGGTAGAGAGCTGAGTTCCCAGCTCGCGTTGTTTTTCTTTGACAGAGCCGTGCTTGGATGTCCCGCCTGTGGCCAGCCTTGTGGGCGTGGTGAGAGGCAGCCTCGTAAACCTTGCTGTTGTCTCTAGGACAGGGGTGTTCTCAAGAACATCATCCTTGACATCACGGAGTGACCCCTTTGTGGAAGGAAGTATACAGAAGAGACTTCTCTCAGGTCTCAGTACTCAGAAGCACTGTGCTTCCGCAGAATGAGTTATCACTTTGCATACTGTGATCCTAAGAGCTGAATTGCTGGGATGCTCAAAGCCAGATTTCAAGCCCTCTCTGGCAAGCAGGCCCCAGCTTACCCCTGGCTTGGTTATTTTGCAACAGTTCTCCTCCCCTGTGCTTTCTATTGGCCCCGATTCCCTTAGCTCTTTGTTTTACACTTTTCTCTCATGTGTGTCCTTATAAACACCTCTCTGCTGCAGAATGAGGTGTGATATAAATATGTGAATTCATTGTTAAATCTATTTCAGGGTAATTGTGAGGATTAAGAGCTGCATTGCTTTGTGAAAGTCATGTAAGCAGCAGCACCACCAGTGGAGCTGGCACTGGGTGGGAGACGGGGGCGGGTGGTCTGTCTTCTAGACTGAATCATCTTCTCACACACAGCAACCCCTGACCCACGGCCCTGAAATACTTATTAGCACCTGCTTATTTCTTAAATAAATGAAAATTCATTGAACACACTTTGAAATTTTTACAACCTCCCTTGAGATTTTGCTGAATTGACTAAGTCAAGAGCTGGGAACTGAAAATGAAACTCATTTTATGGATTTACCAGCAGGAACTTGTTAGGCCCACAACAGCCCACGGGCCCTGGGTAATGGGAGGGACCACACTTCTGAGAAGGCTGGGTGGAGGAGTGTACAGGGAAGATAAACAGCACTGGAGAGGGTTGGCTAACCCCCACCCCCACCCCCGCACAGCGGGGCCCTGGATCAGGCCCCAAGCATGACCTATACAATGAGTGGACCAAGGAGCACAGGGTTCTTTGGGAGTCTACTTAGAAAATATAATCACAGACCCCCTGGGACCACTTGTACTTTTCAACAAGGTAGAGGAAACTTTATGCCTGGATCAAGTGACCATGCCCCCTGTCCTGCCCTGCAGGGCAAACACCTTTCAAACACCTCTCCATGGTGGGACGCCTTCTGAAGCAGAAATGCCCCTTTGCCTCATACCGCTTTGCCCCATTCTTGCTATGTGATGTAAGCATCACCCTCCCTTTCAGAAGAGGAAGGTGAGTCTCAGGGAGGACAGTGACTTGCCCCAGTAAATGATAGAGTCAGGAGTCAACCTCAGAGCTGTGAGGCCTATGCCCTTTGCACAAAGGTCACAGCCTGGCACAGAGTAGGAGAGCCTGCCTGGCTGCCATGCTGATATTCTCTTTGAGCTGGGCTGGGGCTGGGCCTGCTGGAGGGTTGGACTCACACTTCATGTTGTCTTCCGTGGCAGTGGAGTCTGGTGTGTGACAATGACTGGAAGACGCCCCTTACCACCTCCCTGTTCTTCGTAGGCGTGCTTCTCGGCTCCTTCCTGTGTGGACAGCTATCAGACAGGTAAGGATGCTGGGAGGGAGGATAGGGGGGATAGGGCACCTTGTCAATTCATTTGTCTGTCTTGGGGTTGGACTGAACTCAGGGTATTTCCATCCAGAGAAAGGGAGGCCCTCAGGCCACCGAGTCAGTGATAGAGAAGAGCCGTGGTGTTACCTCTTCTCCCTGCCCTCAGCCCCTTGCTGGGACCCACTGGAAAGTGGAGTCCTTATATCATCAGACCTCTCAAAAAAAGACACTACTGCGGTTACCACTTACTCTGTCCACAAACAGCCATCAGTCAGAGTCAGGGCCAAAGAATGAGCACCCAGTTGCTAACTGTGCACCCACCTCTGCAGTGGGTCGGGCCCCTGGCCAGGCACTGGGGCCACAGAGCTGATCTAGCCTGGTTTTGGGCCTCTTGGAATTCACAGTCTGGAGGAGACAGCATCACAGCTCTGGAAGAGTTGCCCCACTGACCCCTGAATGTTCTGTGGGGACCCGAACAGGAAGGTGGGAGTGCTAAATGGCAGTGTTGGGGAAGGCTTCCCAGAGGAGAGGCTATACTTCCCCAGGTACAAAGCCCAATGGGACCCCAAACCCAGCAGCCTGAGACCTGAGTTTCCAAAGTGGAGTAGGAGACTGTTCTGCTTGCACTTGTGCTCCATTTTACCCATTGGACACTATCAGAATGTGAAATTAAGACTTAAGCCAACTACAGTGTTGCTAATGGGCATTGCTGGAAGCTACACTTCCATAGAGCAGTGGTTCGCAATTTTGGCTGTGCATTAGACACCTGGGAAATTTTTTTAAATTCCAATACCCAAACTGCATCCCAGACATTAAGAATCTCGGGAGGGGCCGGCCCCGTGGCTTGGTGGTTAAGTGCGCGCGCTCCGATGCTGGTGGCCCGGGTTCGGATCCCGGGCGCGCACCGAGGCACCACTTCTCCATCCATCCTGAGGCCGAGTCCCACATACAGCAACTAGAAGGATGTGCAGCTATGACATACAATTATCTACTGGGGCTTTGGGGGGAAAAAAATAAATAAATAAAATCTAAAAAAAAAAAAAAAGAAGACTCTCGGGAGGCAGGGTGTTGACGCCAATATTTTTTGAAGCTCTCCAGGTGATTCCAAGTGCAGCCAAGGTTGAAGACCAGTGCCATAGAGGGATTCTCGGTTCTGGATTTACAGAATTCCCATGTTGCTGATATTAGATGTATCTGTAATCTGTACTGTACCCACTTTCCAGAAATGTGGTGGCAGCTTCTAATTTTGGCTCATTCTAAAGAGCAGATTTCCACATGGTCCTTGCATGAGCTGATCTGTGCTTTTGAGATACAATGCCTCCGAAGGAGGCTTAGAGTCTCTAAAGGTCTCTGCAGGGCAGATGGATGCCTGAGGTCTCACCAAAGGGGAACCTGGGAGGATGTGACAGGGAGAAAAGTCTGTCACAGCCCTGAAAAAAACAAAATCTGCAGTGATGCCTGACCTCAGGACTTGCCACACGCCCTGGGTTACAGGGCTGTTGCAACCTGCACAGGCCGTGTTTTGTGCTGTGCTGTACTCTACAGGTTTGGAAGGAAGACCACCCTTTTCGCAACCATGGCTGTGCAGACTGGCTTCAGCTTCCTGCAGATTTTCTCCATCAACTGGGAAATGTTCACTGTGTTATTCGTCATCGTTGGCATGGGCCAGATCTCCAACTATGTGGTGGCCTTCATACTAGGTAGGAAGGGCTTCTGACCCCCAGGGCTTCTCCTTCCAACCCTGTGAGAGGCCAAGGAAGAGGGGGGCACAGGGAGTGCTCTTACTTAGCACAGAAGGAAGCACCTCAACCCATGGTCTGTGCTTCCAAAACGTGATCAGCCTCATATATATGTGTGTTGGGGAGGGGGCTGTAGCCACAGGTTGTTTGATCTTGTCACGGGCAAGGCAGGCACTCACCTAGAGCTATCTCTGTGCTGGGCCCTGAAATGTGGTGGTGAATACGAGCTGGAGCTGGTGGGAACCAGCCACACAATTACTGAGACACATTTCAGGAGCACAGGGCTTGGGAGAGGCACAGGGGAAGGTCTTGGGGGGAGGGACAGCCTAGGGATGTCTTTGATCTGAGCTGTGAAAGCTCGAGACTTCTGCCTTGGCCAGGGCAAAAGGGTATTCCTGGAAGCTGTGCATGGCCCATGGAGGGACTTAGGGTAGTTGGTGTGGCCGGTATACAGGTGGAGGAGGCCCGGGCCAGACTGGAGTTCAGTGCCAGCCCACAATCGTTGGGCAGATCTGGTCTCACCCTGAGTCAGAGTCCACCCCCAGAGCATATCAGCAGTGTGCAGTAGTCCTGTCTCCTAACAGCAGCCTTGCTTCTGGACTATCAGACTTCATGAGGGGGACTCACAAGCTAAAGGTCATGAGGAGGCCCCAGGGTCCTCACTGGCTTTTCCTGGGAGGAAGTGAGGTGAGCTCCAGGCAGGTTGATCAGGGTCTTCCACAGGGGTGAGAGTCCCCAACTGCTCTCTGAGCCTACCTGCTCTCTCTGAGCATGTGGGAGAAGGGGAGATGAGGGACACCTCTGGAACAATAGCTACCAATGCCCATAATCGCTAATGTGATAATATATCCTTGTTGGCTGTCCCAGTTTATCCCTATTGTCACAGTGTAATTATTAATAGTGCCCCTTTAATGTTAGGTCTAATGATTCTTCTTGTCTCAAAAGTCTGAATCTGATAATTCTGATCACTTTTAAGAGTCTAGATGACTCATTGGCTTTGGAGATGCTGTGTTCTCTGGGTTGAGGATGTGTACACCCTCTGTCAAGTTGCCAAGATAGAATTGTTCAAATTCCACTCCTTTAATCATTTGTGAAGAGCCCTTGCCACAGGCCCAGCCTCTGTGTCTACAGAGAGGAGGAGGGGAGAGCGTGCTGAAGCCACATGGTCCCAGCAGAGAGCACCCTCCTCAGCAGTTCCCAGCAGGAGGGGGGCCTCTCTCCTCCCCGCATGGGGAAGGAGGGGAGCAAAATTTTCTTAAAGGTCATTTGCGTAGAAGATACAGAGAGCTTCAGGCTAGTGGTGCTGGAAACTGTAGATTAGAGGAATTTAGGACAAAATTTCAATCTCCTAATGCCCAATGCCCCCAAGGACACAAGGCTCTTGGGCATAACAAAGCCTATCGTTGTCATGTTCTAAATCCCCTGGAATCCATCTTCCTTGTGGTGACCCTCCCTATACCTGAAAAGCCCAACGTGTGACTCTGCTTGGGCCAGACACCGTACCAGAGACTAAAGAGGCCTCCTCAAAACAGAGGACTCTGCCCAAGGCCAGCAGACCCCTTTATGAACCTAAAGGACCATCTGAAATGGAAGGGCAGGGAGTCACGATGAAGCCAGAGAAGCCCTATCATTGGGATTGGGAGCCAGGTGGGGTCTGTGCCAGGCGTAGAATCCCCCAGGTTCTGCTGAATGGCCAGGATGGAGACCTGCCTTTCCAGTGGCAGTGGAGGCTCCCTGTGTGAGTGGATGAGGCCAGGAGAGCCCACCCCAGGCCTCCTGCAGGAAAGGCCCACTCGGCTGGCCCTAACAATACAACTTACTCACCTCCTTACTCTCCATGCTGAGAAGAGTGAGAGGGCCTGGGGGAAAGTAAGATCATGTAAGATCAGTCAGAGCTTAGATGCATCAAGCCGGTCATCAGTGAGCAGGACATTGGGTGCAGCGGGCTCCCCATCAGCCAGCCTGGGTCCAGGGCTGTTGTCGGATGCTCTGGGAACCTCCCTGGCTGTAGTTTACTCCACTGTGCTCTGTGGGAAATTGCTGACTTTTGTGTTCTGATATGAGACTCTTTGTGTTGGGCTCTCGGGTCTGAACATTTAAGAGTGTCATTGAACACCAACCTGCCCCCTGAGCAGCCAGACTCCCTCGTTGGCGCCTGGGGTGGGGGTGGGAGGGACAGTGCAAGGGCGTGGCAGCAGCTGGCTTCCCTCGCAGCACAGCAGCGCTCTCTGGTGTTTCAGGGCTAAAATAGTGACTAAAAGAAACTTAGCTTGGGATCTGGGCTGAGAAGTTCGATCTGGGCTGAGAAGTTCTGTCTGGGCCTTCACTTTTGCCCTCTGGCTCTAGAGAAGGGTGGGCAAGACTCGGCAATGATAGTCTCCAGTTTTAAAAGTCTTCACATTAATTCAGGAAGCTGAATTACTCCCACTCTCAAAGCAGTGCAGAAATGGATCCTCTCCTTGCTCTGCTTTTTAAAAATTATAAAGCCTGCCAGAGTCATAGGAGACAAGAAAAGGGAAGGAAGGAACAGTGCTACCCAAAGAAACATAAAGTGGATACACCTGAAAATGAAGGCGCTGCCAGACGATGCTGGTTTAGGAAGAAAGGACCACTCAAGCCCAAGGACACTGACCCTACCCGCACTCCAGCTCCTCCTCACTGTTTCCCAGAAATAACGCCTTCAGCCTGTCCACAGCCTTCTGGGTAAAATGCCAGCGGCATCCTCCTTTATAACTCTTAACAAGCTGCTTGAATTTATTTTGCACAGTTAACTGCCTCCTGTCTTGACTGATCCATTAATTTAGTACTTTTCCAGTACTCCTAACATCAACCTCTTATGCAATATTTGTTTCAACATATTGGACTGTTTAAAGCTCTGCTTTCTCTCTTGTCTAGATGTGTTCTTCCTTTTCATAAGTGTGTAACGGATGGCATCTTCATTTATAACTTTGGCTACCAGGAAGCTCAGGCAAAATTGAAATTTAACTATATCAATTATGTAGCCTTTATCGGCCACATATTTTTTAATTGAGATATAATTTTCATGCCATAATACTCACTTTTTAAAAATGTATACTTTAGTGGTTATTAGTATAGTCACAAAGTTGTACAACCATCAACTCTAACTCCAGAACATATTCATCACCCCCAAAAGAAACCCTGTACTCATGAGCATCCCCTCCCCACTCCCCTCTTTCCCCAGCCCCTGGCAGCTAATCTACTTTGTCTGTATGGATTAGTCTATTCTGAACATTTCAGATGAATGGGATCATACAGTATGTGGCCTTTGTGACTGGCTTCCTTCACTTACTGTTTTCAAGGTTGATCCATGTTGCGGCATGAATCAGTATTCCATTGTATGGGTATACCACATCTTGTTCATCCATTCATCAGTCAACAGACATCTGGGTTGTTTCCACTTTATGACTATTATGAATAATGATGCTATGAACATTTGAGTACAAGTTTTTTATGGATATAGTTTTCAGTTCTCTTGGGTATGTACCTAGGAGTGGAATTGCTGAGTCACGTGGTAATTCTACGTCTAGCCGTTTGAGGAACTGCCAGACTGTTTTCCAAAGTGATCAGCTGCATATTTTTGTTCTTTTCTCCAAGGCCTAACTTTTTACTTTTCTTTGTATTTTACTTTAATGTTACCATTATTTTACTGTATTCAAATTATAAAGCTGCCTCAAAATCTTTAAGGGATGAGATAGGGTATAAATACATAAAAAAAGATGCAGAAATTTGCTGGCACCGCTTGTCTGCGCTGCACCACGTGAGGGAAGAACTGAGGGGACCCAGGGAGGAGCAAGGTCTCGCTCCTGTCTGTTCTCAGGGAGCTCACATCTGGCTGGGAGAGGCAGCCAAGGGGTTGTTACTGGAGACATGGGTCACAGGTAAAGTGGGAGGGGGGAGGGGGCAGATAACTTTTCTGGGTATATGCAGAGATAGGAAAGGTTACTTTTGACTAGAATGATCTGTGAAGGTTTATAGAGGGGAGAGAAGAAGCCCTGTGCAGGGACACATCTGTTAATTTGAAGAGAATTCTGAGTATTTTCCAGGGAGCAAAGAGAGGTTCTGCTGTCTTTCTTTGGGTTTCTTGGTCAAAGGCACTGTATTTTCCATCATTCCCTCGACATCTAGCACATTTCAACTGTGTGACCAGGATAAAGGAATTAACTATTCCTGAGCACCTACTACATGCCAGATACTCTCCTAGGCACTTTATATACGTTATCTCAGTCCTCATAATAATAAGTCCATGAAATAGGACTTATCAAAGTCACTGTAATAGCAAATTAGCATCAAAGAGCCCAGGCTTTCTGCACATGCCTGACGGAGGGCACTCCCAGCCCAGGGTCCCCTGGGTCCTACCGTATATCCTGCCAACTGTACCACAGTCTTGGGTTTTTTTTTGTGAGGAAGATCAGCCCTGAGCTAACATCCATTGCCAATCCTCCTCTTTTTCCTGAGGAAGATTGGCCCTGGGCTAACATCCGTGCCCATCTTCCTCTACTTTATATGGGATGCCGCCACAACATGGCTTGACAAGCGGTGCGTTGGTGTGTGCCCGGGATCTGAACCCGTGAACCACGGGCTGCCAAAGCAGAGCATGCGCACTTAATCGCTATGCCACCAGGCTGGCCTCCCACAGTCTTGTTTCTTGAGCTGGGGTCTGCTGCAGTCTTCTGTTGGTCATTCATGAGGGGCAGGTCCTGCCTCCATGTGGAATAGATCCAGTGGTTCCTGGGCTGACTACCATAGAAGGGCCCTGATGGATGTGGAAGTGAGCCTAGCTCTCTCTGCGTCACTCCCTCTTGGAGAGAGTGCTCAGATTCAGGTGGTAATGACAGGCAGTGGGAACACATGCCTGGCCAGGACATGTCCGTTTGGCTTAGATGTCAGAGTTTCACTCCCAAAAGACACTCAGAAGCCCAACCAGACCAATACCAACTGCG